AGTCAAGAATGTCTACATGTTATTGTTGTTGCTATGTACTGTGAAGTCTGAACCAACTCATAGCTGACACTCAACAGAATTTTCAGAGTCTGTAAAGGGCATGGAAGGGGCTTGCCCACTTTCACTTGCAGAACTACCTGCCTTTGGGTTGACAGCAAAACCCCTAACCCCTAACTAAGTGCTCTGAACTCCCCAACGTCTACATGATGAGACTCTAATAAGAGCTCTGGACATGGAAGCTCCATCGGCTTCTTAGTAGATGAAAGATCTGGATACTTGAGAGAGTGACTCATCATTTTGAGACAAGGAAGGAGCCCCATCTTGAAGACCCTCCTAGAACGCATGCTCTTCTTCACATTGACACTTGATTTGCCCCCTTTGGCTGCAATAAACTGTAATCACTAAGTATAGTGCATTCCATCATATTGTGATCATAGATTTTTTGTTCTACTGGATTACCAAAATGAGGTAAAAGCTCAGATGTAGTCAGCTGAGGACTCATCAATTTGTGGATGGAATCCTGAAGGGTAGAAGAAATTTCTGAAGTTGTGACTAGCTGTTGAGTTGTGAGAACTCCCAAACTTGTGGGTAACATTGGAGGTCTTGGCACAACTGGCAGTCTTGGAGGACTGTATTTGTAAAGTCTGACCTAGCTCTAAGTGGTTACAGCCACAGGAAGCAGTGCTGCATGAACACTGATGTCAGAGTAGAAGGAAAGGGGGAATTTGGTTTGTCTACTCACAGGTTATTTTGTGTTTTCCAGCAAGGAAAGAATGGAAGTATTGAAGATTCTTACTGTTAATACAGATTGGAAAAGTGTCTGAATTCTCTTATCTGGACAGAAACCTCTCAAATGATATTGTTGTGATATTTTTTGTTTCCATGGAGTCATGACTGACTGACTTATAACTGACCCTCCAGTGGGTTTTCAGAGGCAGTAAATTGCACAGGAATTGATTGCTCATCTTTTTCACGTGTAGCAGTTAGAAGATTCGAAAGGTTTTGGTTCGATAACACAAAATGAAATATAAGAATGTTCACTTATCTTCTAAATTTTTCTTTGTAATAAAATTAGATTCATAAAATATATTCTTTTTACCTTAGAAACAAATTCTTTCTACTTTAGGAGGTCTTATGCAGATGTCAGGGCTTTGGTCATCCTGACGATGTGTATTTCTATATTGGCTTCTAACTGGGTAATTGACTTTTTTCCTCCCGCTGTAAGCTGCACACAGTGCTTTTTGGCCCAGTTACTCCAGCTACAGGCATTGGTTACTTTATATTTTTTCTCTGTACAGCTCCAGGGAGAATTCCATAGGGCCCAATTTTTACAGATGCCAAGTCTAAAAGTGATATACCAGTGCCAAGATGCTGAATTCTTATTACTAAGCATAGGGCTTATATCTATTTTATTTTCTTCTAAAATCCTTACATATGAAGGATATATTAGCTTTGGGAAAATATGTCATAAAACCAAAGAAATAAAAGGTAAATAATGGTTTAAATTTTGGAGTTTTTTTTAATTGAAAAGTTAACATAACTCCAGATGATTTATCTTATATTAGTTATGCTCTCAACTAATACTTACTTAACTTTCCAAATTGACAATTTGAATCTATTACCCAATTAATCTGTGAAGATTATTCTTGTATGTAGTGAAACTTTATAAATACAATAAAAAATTCTAAGTTTAGCTAGAATATTAACTGAAATGGAATCTATTAACTATAAATTATTATTTTATATAGAAAGATTTCAGCTCTAGTTTATTTCTTTTATTTACTTTAATCCAATTGTAAAATCTATCCATCAGTAATCTGAGGATTACTTTTAGCCCTCCTTATAAGTAAACCCAATGCATATATTTCCACTTTAAATAAATCAACATAAACATTAACACAATTACTTGATATAACACAATCACAAAATGTAAAACTTTATACTTGAAAATTCTCAGATTAGCATAATTATTAAAATTGTGGCCTACACCATCTGAATGCTATTGTTGTTGATTGCTGAATTGGAAGTAACCCATAGTGGACCCTCCAGCAGGTTCTCAGAGGCAGTAAATTGCACTAGAGGAGACTGCCTATCTTTCTCCTAAGGAGCAGGTGATAGATTCAAAGCAAGTACCTTTGCACTGACAGCACATTTGCAGTTGACTTGACAGCACCTAACAGCAATGAGCTGCCACCTGGGTTCAAATCTCGTTTTGCCACCTACAAATGGTATGATCTCAAACTATTTAGCCAATTTTTGCCTCAGCTTTTTCACCTGTAAATTTAATACAGATTAAAGAAGATGTTGTTGTTAGTAGTTATTGTTGAGCTGGTTCTGACACACAGTGAACCTCTGAACAAGAGTGAAAGAGTCCCTCCCAAAGCTTATGCCATCCTCACAACTATTATTATGTTTAAACCCTCTGATGAGCCACAAAGGTAGCTAATACATGGACCCATTCGGTACATGGAATGTACTCAATATGTGTTAGCCCTCATTATCATTATGAAATGGGGCACAGTATGCACTGGTTACTTCCAGAGTGATGCATGACACCACTGTGCATCAGATTATGACAGAAACAATGCTTGACCTGGCTCTATTAAACAGTAAATGGTCACACAAAAGGGAGGTGCATAAAGGTCTTAATGGGTTCTTATGTATCCCAGAAGACATATATTCATAATAAACCACGTGGTCTGATAAGGAATAGATGTTTGTTAAACCAGATTTATAATCTAAGGCTTTAGAATAATATTTCTTTTTAGAATCATATGTAGTTATAGTGCTCCATAGTTAGCTCAGATATTTTGTGATATAAAAAATTATGTCCTTCTTTGATTGCAATATTAGAATTCTGGCTTAACCACATGAAGTTGGTCAACGTATTTATTTAACAACAAAACACAATATAATAATTATAATAATATACTCAAAAGAGACATTTCACAAACGAAGAAAAGCAAAACCTAACTGGGCCAAAAATGGTTATGTCTATCATTCTCATGGCATAGTTGATGAGTCACTATTGTCAATACCAACAATCTTTGTAACACTTAATTTCCTGGTGCTATACTAAATAATGTATTTTATATCCAGGACCATCTATAAAAAATAGGTCCTAAGGAGCAATAGCCCACTCAACAATCTAAAAACTGTATTGTTAGTGCCAGACTATGAAAGACACTGTGAAAGAAAGAAAACTCATTTTTCTTTTCTCTCAAAATCTTACAAATTAATAGGTAAGCTTGAGATGGTCTGAATAGTACATGATTAGAAAAAAAATACATAATGAAAATTAGTGAGTTAAGATGGCAGTCATCAAGGTTTATACAAATCCAAATGAAGGTTAGGTTGTGAGTTGGCTCATATTGAGAGAGAACTGGTAGCTTAGTGGGTAAGGAGATGTGCTCTCAACCCAAAAGCATGTGGTTTGAATCTGCCAGTGGCTCCACAGGAGAAAGTTGGGCATGCTCCTCCTATGCAATTTAAAGCTTCTGAAAACCCACTAGAGGTTTAGCTATAAATCTGTTCTGACTTGACCACAATGCATTGAGTCCACAGGGAGTTGTACTTCTAACTCAAAGATGGCACCTCTTTGGCTGTTCGAATCCACTAACAGAGAAAGGTGGGCAATCTTCTCTCTTGTGATTTACAGCCTCTGAAAACTCACTGGAGGCTCAGCTGTGAATTGGTTCTGATTCTACAGCAATAAGAAGAAATAAGAGAGATTGAAAATTAGGAAGTAGGTACAATTTACCTTTGACTTTGGTCTACCTCTCCTATCAGTTTTCTCTGTATTGTTTGTAGAGCAGATAATTTCCACACCCTTAAGACTTTGGAAAGCTTTCTACTATATGGAGGTTGTCTGCTGCCTACTTTCTATTAACCTTCTACAAGGATGTTCCCAATAGTGTGCTTATGACTGAGTTTCCAACAGCCTTTGTCTAAAATATCAAGTCAAAATGGCATCTGGAGGGAAGAGAGTAAATTAGATAACAAAATACTGTCTCAGCTTCCCTCCTCTGCTCTCAGTGGAATGAGTAAAAGAGACTTGCTATCCTAGCTGTAAAATCCTCCCTCAGATACATGAATAATAAATGCAGGGTGGTGTAATACTGAACAGAAATTCTGTAAGAATTCTTATTCACTCAGCATAATACTTTTAAGGCTCATTCATGTTGTAACACATATTAGGATTTTATTCCTCTTTATGGCTGAGTAATATTTCATTGTGCATATATACCATGTTATATTAATGCTTTTATCAAGTGAAAGATATTTCGTTTGTGAAAAGTTTATGAGCACACTGATAATGACACTCAGTAGGGTCTTTGCTTGGTAAAGCAGGTCCAGATCCATTTAATATATAATTTTGTAATATTTATATATCGTATTAAATATATACACATGATTAAAAACAGGCTTTCTCAAATTCAGCATTATTAGCATCTGAAGAGATAATTTTTATTTTGAAGTTGGACGCAGTGGAATAATTTTTATCAATATTTTTTTCACCTCTGTTTTCCAGAGCTCTGGTGGCCTAGTAGTAAGAAACTATGCTACAATCCCAAAGGCATGGGGTTTGAATCCACCAGCTGCTCCATGGCAGAAGGAAGAGCAATCTCCTTCCATGCAATTAACTACTTCTGAAAACTTGCCGGAGGGTCAGCTATGGGCAAGTTTTGACTCGAATGCACACAACAACAACAACAACAACAGCAACATCTACTAGACACCAGCAGCATCCCTTCCTAGCTGTGACAACTGGACATTGTCAAATGTCTGCTATCGTGGGGACCCTTCCAGTTTAAAACCATTGCCCGATATAGTTCCATAGAGGCCAGAATATCAATCATCATATAAATATTGCCTATGTACAAAAATTTTATTTACTCAAAAAGTAACACTGTTAAAGAAAAGGTATCTTGTGTTAGACGTAAGCAATGTTTTTTAAAGGAGGTTTTAGAATGACCCAGAGAATCTTTAAATGTACTTACATTGAGCTCTAAAACTATTCCAAGGCAGTCAGTCAGTAATGACACAAGAGTGGCCGCCGTAACGATAACCAGGGTTACAGTGATGTGGACAATTGTCGAAAGGTTCCCACCAAAAAACACATTGGCAATTACCTGCCAAGTAAACAAATTACTTAGAAAGGGACTTTCGGAAACATGTGGACTTTGATATGAGAGTATAAAGTGCTGCCTATTATAACACTTAGAATTATACAAAACAGCACCAATAAGAAAATTAACCAAATCTCACGTCACTGAGCATGATCTATTTTCCCCCAAAGAATTCATATATACAGACTTTATCAATAATAAGGATTTTAAAACAAACTATTAGACAGTGGATTATATTTTTTTTATTATGCCATACCAATGTTTGAATAAATACAATGTTTCAAGTATAAGAGAGAATTTTGACGTTATTCTATTCTTTTTCTTTCAAGCCAGCAAGATTACCAGTGCAACAAACTACAGCTGCTGTTCGGATTATTTAAAAATGTAGAAGGAAGGAGTTACCAGATTATTTTTCAAGAGTAATAAACCAAATCCACTGTTGTCAACTTGATGCTAACTCATAGCGATGTTCCGTAAGGTTTTAGAGGCTCAACATCATTATGGGAGGAGGCTACCGAACTTTCTCCTGCACAACCACTGGCAGACGCGAACCCCTATAAAGCTGGTAATCTTTTGGTTAGCAGTGCAACATCTTACAGATGAGTGCACCAGAACTGATGGGCTATGCCACCAGAACATCTATTAATAATAATAGATGTATAATTGCCTTTACTGTTGTTAGGTACCATTGAATGGGTTATTGATTCACAGTGGCCCCATGTGACAGAGAATAATGCTCCACACTCTTAGGCGGTAGTTTTGATGAAAGCAGATTATCAGGTCTTTCCCTTCTGTTGTCATTAGGTGGGTTAGATCCTCAACCTTTCAGTAAGTGGTCAAGGGCTTAACTGTTGCACCATACTTCTTTATAATACCCTATCACTAGCAGGAACTTAATTTTATGCAACTTATAACATTTATCTAAACTATGATGGTTTATTACAATTTAAGTCTAGTTCATCATGCTTTTCCTCAACAAAACAAGAAAGAGTTGATCAACCATTTCCAAAGATATTTTGACCAGGAAAGGAAATTAATCAAGAATTCCATTTTTGGTTTGCTCCTTGTCAACTGAGAGAAACCCCTTGTACAGCTTCAGATATATCCCTGAGACACAATGTTGAAATTTGGAGTAAATGGATTTATCTGCATTGGTCACCTGGTCACCAGAGCTGCTTTTAACTCTGGCATAGCGGATGTTGTTGCCATCAATGACCCCTTCATGGACCTCAACTACATGGTCTATGTGCTCTGGTGTGATTCTACCCATGGCAACTTTAATGTCACTCTTGAGGCTGAGAACGGGAAGCTTGTCATCAATGGAGAAGCCATTACTATCTTCAAAGAATGAGATCCTACCAACATCAAGTGGGGTGATACTGGTACTGAGTATGTTTTGGAGTCCACTGGTGTCTTTACAATGTTTGAGAAGGCTGGGGTTCACTTGAAGGGTGGTGCCAAAGGGGAAAACCATCTCTGCTCCTTCTGCCCGATGCCCCTATGTTTGTGATGGACGTGAACCATGAGAAGTATGAAAACTCTCTCAAAATTGTCAGCAATGCCTCCTACACTACCAACTGCTTGGCCCCTCCTGGGAAAGGTCAGTCATGCGACTTTGGCATCATAGAGGGACTCATGACCACAGTCCATGCCATTATAGCCACTCAGGAGATGGTCCCTCTGAAAAGTTGTGGTGTGATGGCCATGAAGCAGCCCAGAACATCTTCACTGTATCTACTAGTGCTGCCAAGGGCATGGGCAAGGATATTCCTGAGCTGAGTGGGAAAGCTACTAGAACGGCTTTCTGTGTCCTCACACCTAATGTTTCAGTTGTGGATCTGACCTGCTGTCTGGAGAAAACTGCCAAATATGATCAAGAAGGTAGTTAAAGCAGGCATCAGAAAGACCCCAAAAAGGCATCCTGGGATACACTGAAGACAAAGTTGTCTCCTGTGAACAGTGACACTCTTATACCTTTAATGCTAGGGCTGGCATAGTCCTGAACAACCACTTTGTCACATTCATTTTCTGGTATGACAATGAATTTGGCTACAGCAACAGGGTGGTTGCCCTGATGGGTCACCTGGTCTCTAAAGAATAAGAACCCCTTGAACCACAACCCCCAGCAATAAATAGCACTAGAAGAGAAAGAGAGAGAGAGATGTTCAACTGGTGGAGAATCCTTGCCCCAACTGACATCTGTGAAATCTCACATCTTTTACATGGTTTCTATCTGAGAAAGCAGAGAGGCTTAGAAAGCCCATCTTTGTCATGTACCATCAGTGAAGTATACTGTTGTTGTTGTTATGTGCCATTGAGTCACCAGTGATTCACAATGACCCTACGTACAATAGTTCTGAAGCCTGCCCTGTCCTTAGCCAGTCTCACTCTGACACACCCACTCTTATTGCCCCAGTTACTGTATCAATCCATCTCATGTGAGGCCTTCCTCTCCTGCACTGTCCCTTCACCCTTTCAAGCATGGCACCCTTTCCAATGACCAGTCCCTCTTGGCCCCATGCCCAAAGTATGTGGGATGGAGCTTCAAAATCCTAGCCTCCAGGGAGAAACTTTATTTCATCCTCTCCATGACAACTAAGAAAAAAAAAATACATTTTTTAAGTGGCCCATGCTTTAATACGATTTTTAATGAATAAGTATCTGAGAGATAATTCCTATTCCCAGGTGTTAACACCCTACAAAGATCAGTACAAACCAGTATACATATTGACACAAATAGAGGTAAATTTAAGATGGGGGGGGGAAGATCAATTGGAATTTAGAATTGGAAGGAACTTTAGTTATTGGAATCTTTCTCATGAAGTAACCTGCTGCAATCATTCCTTAAGATCACTTGTTCTATTCTGGTCTTAGATGGAGTTTGGAATATAGGCAGAATTTGGATAAAGAGAAATAGAATTCCATGCTGTGGTTTTAGCCTAAAAGTTTGCTTTTTGTAGGCCTCTGGTCTCCAGCTACCTTAAGTACAGATACAAAGTCTTGCAAATCATCAAGGTCTTGCAAATCACCAACAGCTGTGGGACTAGGATAAGATAAAGAGTGTTTCCCACACTGGATCATAAAACTTGAGGAGAGCAAGGCTTGTGGTGGCAAAACTCTGGTGACAGCAAGACCCTGGTGGTGAAGAGACTGTAGCATTGCTGTGGACAAACAATGGCAAGGTGTGACTTGAGGCTTCTTGGATTTCTGCTGGCCATGGTTAAAGGTTTGGCTGTTCTTGACAGATGTTTGATGGAGAAGTTGACTTAAAACTGCTCTGAGGTAAACCTTGTTGGATGATTTGATTATAGCTACTGTGAGGCAAACCTTGCTGGATGATTTGGAATTGACTGCTGAACTAAAACCAGACCCTGGACTTATTAAAGAACTGTGCCTTGGAATTGTTGGGCTAAATCCTGGACTTGTATTGTGAAATATTCTTTGTCTCCCCCACTCAATTCCCTAATAAACCCCATTGCTTGTATCATAACTGAGTCTGTGAGTCAACAATGAATAAACGAACCTCTTTCTATTTTTGGGGCCCTAGACGCACCATGAGGCTGGGTTATGGGTTCTTTACCTGCTTTCTACTCTGGGACAGTGATAGGCTATGCTCTTCTTACTCCCTCTCACCCTTTCAGAGAGATGCCCATGGCTCTGTTCCCCAGTGGCCCATTTTCTCCTACTTAGACAGAGGCTGAGGTTGTTGTTGTTTGTTGTTGTTAGGTGCCTTCGAGTCGTTTGCGACTCATAGCGACCCTATGTACAACAGCCCTAAACCCTGCTCTATCCTGTGCCAATGTCATTGCCTCTGACACACCCATCCCGATTACCCTAGTCACTGAATCAATCCACCTCATAGAGGGTCTTCCCCTTCTGCGCTGTCCCTCCACTCTGCCCAGCATGATGTCCCTCTCTACAGACCTGTCTCTCCTTACAACATGTCCAAAGTATGTCAGGCTGAGTCTGAGGTAGCAGTATGAAAAACAACAAAGCAGTTAAGACCAAGAGCTTTATTTATAGCCAACAAATAGGAGGTAGTCTGAATTGGGTGTTAGCTCCATCTCCCAAAACCTGCTGCCATCAAGTTCATATATCAGCTTTCCAAGACTGTCAATATTTGCAGAAGAGATCTTCCTGGAAGCATCTGGGAGATTTGAGCCTCTGAGCTCTCCACTAATAGCAAAACTGTAACATAACACAAAGTGACAAGGGACCTAAAAGAAACCAGCTCTTGAAGATGTGTTACTTTGCATAAGTAGCATTCTTCATAGATAAAAACTTCCATAGCTCTACTGATACTTCTACTACTCATTTAGAGATCTCTGATGATATAGTCCATAGAGAGTTGCACTGCTAACCCAAAGGCCATGTCTCTCTGGCTATTCCAATCCACCAGCAGCTCTGAAAGGAAAAGATGAGCAATTTCCTCTTGTGTAATCTCCAGCCTGTGAAACCCACTTCAGAGTCACCTATGCATTGTTCTGACTCAGCAGCAGTGAATGAATGAGTATACTAATTTATGATTTTATAACTTGTTTCTTTCAAGTCTTATATTCTATGAAACCAATTTTTATAGAAGTATCTAAGACATAATTGTGATGTTGGGAAATTAATGAGAAAGACTAGTGAGGGATACTTACCATCTTCCTATTCAACTAGCATGCACCTTGTACATTTTTGCAAATTGGAAGCCCTCTCACATCTTTGTTTTCTATACATGTCATATATATATGCAGATTATTTACTGTGCATGTGTTCCATGTGAAAAATAAGATATCTGGGTCAGTCAACAAACTTAATCTATTGCTGTAGAGTTGGAACCAACTCAGAGCTGTCCCTACAGCAGGTTTTCAATGTCCATCTTTCTCGCATTGAATGGCTGGTGAATTTTAGGGTAGGCAGTTTTTATATACAGATACGGTTTTAACTAAGTTCATGTTGTGTGTGTGTGTGTGCGTGTGTGTCTGTGCGCGCACGCGCGCGCATGCATGTTAAGAACTAAATTAAGAAAGTGAATGGGTTTGGAGAAATGAGGTTTTGTCCTCTAATACTTGCTACCATGACAGATATCTTGATTTAAGTCTCTCTTCCTGTCATAGCAACTACAAAGGAAACTCAAGGCCAAGAACTGAAGACATAAGCTGTCAGGTGAAGTGACTCAGATTATCCACAAGCAGCTTACCAAAAGAACCACAGCAGAATGTACCATCTGTTACTGCTGATCTAAAGATCAAATCTAAAGTACTGGGCTGATGCTAAAATAAAACTATTTCCTGTATCTAACAATAGTTAGCAGATTTTTGAAAGGTTCTCAAATTTGAAAAAAAACCAAAAACCCAAAACCTCAAACCAAAGAAAAAGGACCACCCAAAAAACCTAACCCCAAAAACCTCAGCAAACTCTATCATGTAGAGTTGTTCAGTTGACTTTTTGCTTATATTCAAGGTGGAGAACAGGTCTATGGGTTATGATTTATACTCAAGGAGAAGTGCTAATTGTAAGGGGCATATATAAGGCTGAGCATTTCCATATATTACTCTTTCTTAATGCAGTTTCATATCTCTATCATAAGTATAAGGTAAGCACTGGCTTGCCTCTAGAAGCTGGTGAGTTAGTATATTTAAGGCCCTGTAGAATTTTTACTTCACACATTAGACCCATTCACATGGTGTACTGTGTAAACAGCCTCTAGGATTAGATCCTAAGACTAAGCTCTTTTTAGTGTGATTCTTGAAAGAACTACTGTGAAGCAGGATCATGTTTTATTGCTAACTGGTGCAGAGGCGTTTTAGCTGACTGAATAAGGGAATTCTAACAGCTGTGCAGTCCAATTTGACACAAGAATTCGTTCTATTTCAGTTAATCTTCCTCCATAAGTACTGGTGGCCATATAACATAACTTATAATTGACTTTATTAATGAAATGTAAGTATTTCATAATTCTTATTGACATAATTTATTATTTCTGTCAGATATTGTATAAATAACATTCACATTTTATATAAAAATATATCTTATATAAACATATAAATGAAATATTTTTTATATCCATCAAACTGAAGTTGTATTTTAAATTTCAGCTTTTAATAGAAAATAAGATATTTTAATTTGTAAAGCACAACAAAACTTACTAGAATATGTTTTCTAGAACTTTAAACACATACTTTTAAAAAATTTATTTTCATTCAATAATATACTTTTTTAAAATAATATTAATTACAAACTTTGGGCATATGGTCAGGAGGGACTGGTTCCTGGAAAGGACATTATGCTTGGAAGGGTAGAGGAACAGTGCAACAGAAGAAAACCCCAGATGAGATGGCTTGATACAGTAACTGGGGTAATGGAGGTAGGTGTGTTGGAGTCAGTGAGACCAGCTCAGGATAGGGCAGGCTTCAGAGCTGTTGTACACAGGGTCGCTATGATTCAAAGGTGACTCGACCACACATAACAACAATGCCATTTATCACACTATCTCATCAAATCCTCATAATACCTAGCCTATCCCTTTATCCTATGCACCCATACACTAATCTCTGCTGTTTTCGCATTTTTTCTTCTTCTCCTTACTTTATTACCTTAAACACATACTATTTTACAAAACCCATCAGCAGAAGACATTTGCAAAACATGTCTTAAATTTTTGTATTTAATTTCTTTATAAGAATGCTTTAAAAACAAAACAAATAGGGGGGAAATCCAATATGATTTAGCTGTACTATAAACTGACATTCACTATGATGTGGATACCCAGAGTTATGTAAATATTTGTGCTCATGCTAATATAAATTAAACCACCAAATGAGATTTTCAACTCCCACTTGTGAAAGAGTGATCCTGAAAACACCTAAACATAAACTTTTCAACTTTGACATTTTGTAATCTAAAAAGGAAATTTCATAAATTATATTACTTGTCACACTCTGAGAATTTATAAAATTTAATTACAAATTTTCCTATTTTAAATAAAGAGAAAGATGATATATATGAATAAGGTATTGCAGAGGATTTAATCTTACCTCTCTAGTCACAAAGCATTCAATTGGATACGTCAAAATAACAGTGACCCCATAACAAAATCTTCCAAAAGTTACCAGGTCATCATTTCGGCAGTAATTTTCAAATAAGTCTCCTAAAAAAATAATATAAAATAGTTTTATTTAATGGAGTTTGGATATTTGAGATAAAGTTTCAATAAATGAGATACTGAATTTTTATTACAGATGACGTTATATTTCATTTAACCCTGGCGACTTAGTTTGTGTAGAGTTGCACTGCTAACCCAAAGGCTCTGATTATACAGGGGCTCTAATCCACCAGCAGCTCCACAGGAGAAAGATAATCTCCTCCCCTTGAAATTTATGGCCTCAAAAACCAGAAAGAAGGCCACTGTGAGTCAGACAAGCCAGTGACTTTGACTTCTTTGTGCAGAATAGATTAGCCAATCTAAGTGTGAGGGGTTTTCATTCAATAGTTTAAAGTTATTCACTAATATCCAGAAGACTGCATGCTCCACTTTATGATGAATCTATCACTAACAGTATTTTGCTTGTTCTTAAGTTTATTTTTGTGAGGTTTGCTATAAATTTCCATCACCTTCTGAAAACCATTTTATCCATTGTGTTCTCACACCAGAACCAACTCCTAAACAAACCCCTTAACACATTAGCAGCTTTGTAAACTTGCTTCTGGTCTTTGTTTCTCATAAGTGATTTCATTACTGTTGTTTTGGTTTTTTTTAAAGTCTGTTAAAATAAACAATTTCCTTTTGAAATCCTATTCTTAGATCAAGGGCAATCCTGAAAGGAAGAGGAGACTAGAGCATCTGGGGAGCTGAATTTCCTGCATCTCATGCTATAAGGTTTAATCACAAATTCAGGTCACAGCAAGGAATTCCAAACATATGGGATCTTCATGGCATCTGATAGCCCCACATGTAAGTGCATTGATTTAAAATGATGAAACTATATGACCATTTCTTAGGAATAAAATGATAAATAATTCCATGCTAGATGATAGACCATTAGAGCTTGAACTAATTCTTATTTTAAAATTGTAGCTATACAGAGGTAACTCGTGGTTTCTGTGATGCTACACACTGTGACACAGATGTGCCAAATGTGATAATGGTTGCCCAGGGTGGACAGTGTTTCGTGGAGCTTCCTGATTAAAAAAAAACCCAAACTTGGAAGCAAGAGTGGCATCCACTTCTGAAATGGCTTGCCTCCAGGAACTCTATGAACAGTGCTCAGGCCTTTCGTTCACAGGGTCACTACGAGTTGTCTATGACTTGACGGCACCTAACAACAACAACAGCTTCTCATAAACCTTTGGCCGAATACTCACTTATTCATTTCTGTCAAGTTGAAACACATAACTGACCATTGAGAGTCTGGGCTGCAAATTGCTTAATAGGAGATTGCCCTTGGATTGAAATTCTAGAAAGACATGTGTTGTGTTTTTTTTTTTTTGTTTTGTTTGTTTGTTTGTTTTAATTAGCAACGCAATCCCCTACAGAATGTTATTGTGTACTGTAGAGTTAGAACTGACTTATAACTGACAGTTACCCTCCAGAGAGTTTCCAGAGGCAGTAAATGCCACAGGAGATGGCCTGTTTTTTCTCCCACAGAACAGTTGGTGGATTTCAACCATGTACCACTGGTTTGGCAGTACAATTTCTTCCCACTAGGACTTTAATGGCTTAGTGGACACTAGGCTTGTACTGCCAAACCAAATGCATGAAGGTCAAATCCACCAGCTGCTCTGCCAGAGAATGATATGCAATCTCCTTCCATGTAATTTACTGTCTCTGAAAACCCCATTGGAGGGTCAGCTATCAGCCAGTTCCAACTTGATGGCACACAACAACAGGCCACCAGAGTTTCCACCAGAATTCTTCTTTGAAGTCATATGAGGATCTAGTGATGATATGGGTGGTCTGGCAGTATAATGCATAATATGTTGGGCTACTGACCAAGAGGTCAGTGGTTTGAGTCCACCAAGCTGCTCCTTGGTAAAGTATGGGCACTTTTCTACGGTAAAGATATCTAGCCTGAGAAACCTAATGGAGAATCACTGAGTGAGAATTAACTTGATGTCAGTGAGTTCCTTTCTGCCTGCTCACTGAGAGGTTAAAGACTTAATTTTGTCCCGAGATGCTTCAGAAGAAAGGACTGGTGATCTGCTTCTGAAAACCAACCACTGGAAATCCTATGATGATGCACATAGCCTTGATCCAGAGCTGGCTAGATAGCAACTGGTTATGAAAGCACCAAATCCAGTCAACACAAAAAGATTTCCCAATGTTCAATCAAAGAGCTTTAGAGTCTACTTATTTCCTGAACATTTACATGCTTAAATTTTAGAATGTGTGTCACCTTTTTTCTATTAAATCAAATAGAAAAATTGGATCAAAGTCACACACAACCATTCTGTTTTAAAAGGAGAAAACAAAACAATGCCTCTGTACTTTTTTTCATTAAAAAGTGCAATGCCCTAAATGGCCTGGTCCTTCCCAAGTCTTATTTCAGTGACTTGACTCCACTTCTCCATCAGCGAGAGTAAATACGTATTACTCCCCAGTGTCCCCTTTGGGCAGAGGAAATTGAAAACAAAGCACAAACGGGAAAACCTTGCTTGAAGATTGATTGAATATTCCTGCACTCTGAAAAAAGAAATGGACTGAAGCTCCCCAGCCACTAAATGGGCCCGACACCTTTTTAAAAGTTACTGAGAATGTGAACACAAATCTAGAGTTCTTACTCTGATTGTCAGGAAAAATCTCAAATTCCCCTGCTTCACAAATTGGAGCTTATCTACTGAAAGAGAGAAGAAAAGAATATACAACTTACAGAAACACAACCAGACTTGCCAAAAAGGAAATGTCCAGAAGAAACCGTGCTGGCTTATTGTAGCCTCTGTCTAAACATATTTTAAGGAATTTGTTGTAATCGTTATTAGGTGTCCTCAAGTCACCTCCAGTCATAATGACCCCATACACAAGAGAACAAAATCCTACCCAGTCCTTCATGGTCTTCAAAATCTCTTTTGTACATTGTTATAGTTACTGGGGATTGAGTTAGCAGAAACAAGCAGGTGGAAAAATGGCAATGTTGTTATGCAAAGATTGAATGATTTCTGGGCAATTGAAACAGATAAAAACATCAGAAATACATGACTAAGACAAAAAAGATGTTTTCTTATGGAAAAGAGAATAAAAACCAATGTTCTTTAATTTTTTTAATTCCATATGCCATTCACTTTGGCAAAGGACATAATAATACTGTTACATGGCAATATTTAAGACATAATTCTTATCAAGACTTTCTAGGTCGCTTAGTTAACGATGTTCGGTGTATGCCTGCATTATATTTTTGACTATATTGTTCCGATAGAAATCACTATATTTGAAACCATCTTTCTTCATTTCCTGAGAAACCCCTGCTTATAATCATGTGCTCCTATACCCTCTATCCAAAACAATGCAGCCATCTTCCCAAAGGCATCTCAGTGTCACCAGAAAACACAGCTAAAAGGAGCTAGAGGCTGAGAGACAGATTTTCATGAGTCATGATTGAATAAAATGAAGGAGGCAGAGAGATAGAATGGAAAGAAAACTGGACTGGGAATCAGACTTATTTTCTAGTTTTTCATCAGCCAGCTCAGGCAAGTTATTTCACCTCTTTGTATTTTAAGCTCGGGATAAAACTCGTTCTTCCACTTACCTTCAAAGGGTTGTCTGAAGGTCAAATGAGATAATAGACCTGCAAAAGCTATGAAATGTATGACTCACAGAATTTTAGCAGGCTGTCAGAATATCTTAAATATTATATAGCTTTATATAAATGATTGAATACAAGGGTAAAAGTAGGTAGAATTGATAACCACTCAATTGGTGAGCCTGGGTAAACAGAAAAATAACTTCAGCTTGGTGCATGCACGGTGGTGTTGAGGAAGGGACTGGTTTCATGGGAAAGATGATGCTTTGTGTTCAGGGTATGAGGCCGAAGATTAAAAACAAAAGGCCTGGACTATAATTAAAGCAGTAAGAGTCCCCAGAGAATTTGTGGAACGAAAAGCAGGTGACTTGCTGGAACTAGTTCATATGGGGTGGGAGTGTTGGGAGGGAACGAGCAAAGGTGAAACCACTTGGAGGGAAAAATACATTGAGAGAGAAAAAATAAACCATAAAGGTATCGTCATGATTTTTCTTCTGTGGGAACAGAAGAGAGATGATCAGTGGTGCTAAGTGCTGTAGAAGACTGAGAAACCATTGGCACCTTTGAAAATGAAACTGCATTGGGACAGTAGAGAGAAAAGTCAAATTCATATAGTTGGAAGTGAAAGTGCGGGAGAATGGGAGGAGTAAATATGGATTACAGAAATGTTTAGCAGTTAAAGAAGAAGAAAATTAGGAAACATTTAATAAAGGACCAGGAATACAAAAGAGTTAGTTAATGAGAAAGCAAGACCTTGATGTATAGCGTTGGGAATACTTGCATCCAAAATAGCACCAATCCACATGAACACCAAATGATAGACTGAATGTCTCATTTTACCTTGTGTGAAGCCGGTAAATGTCAAGTATCCACAGGTAGCAAATAGCACACTAATAAATACAGAGACCAAGATGGACACATGGATGACACGGGACCACTTAGCTACGGTGGGTTCTTCCAAAGAACCATAAACTAAGAAGCAATTATGGTGGCAAATAAATGCTGTCATACAAAAACAAAACAAAACAAAACAAAACAAAACATTATTAAAGCAAATACGAGAAGTTTCCTTTTCAGAAAATTAGTTCAGAGATGTATGTTATTTGACATGCCAATGAAATAAAATTCAAATATACCACTGTGCTAAATATTATCAGACAAAATGTCCTTACAGCTCTGGAAATGATAAAATGTATTCATAACAGACTTATGTGATCTTTTCATGTCACTTGAGGTAAAGCAGGCCAATTAAACCTTTTTATTTTCCTTTTCTGGTGGTCTTTCTAATCTGAAAGGAAACCACACATCATGTTTTCAGCCCAGTGCTCCCTTTTCAATCTTGGATTTAGCTCAATGGGAACTTTAGAGATCAAGACAATTAGGAATACTCAGTGTCCTATGTTTTGAAGTCCATAAGAGCACTTGCTAGATTTCCAAGTTAAGAAACAAGATGTCTGTAATGGTTTGGTTTTTTTTTTAGAAAGAAATCCCTCCACATTGAAAGACATTTTGGAAATGAATAGCAAAAACTTACCCTAATTTTATGTTGGCACAAGCAAAATCATCTGCTATTAATAGGAAATCTAAAAATTAGGACATCTGCTAGTCAGACGCAAACAGCATTTTTTCTTATTACACATGTCTTCAGGGTAAAAAGGGCCTTTGAAACCATATACTTACCAAATGACATAACACCAACAGCTTGAATGGCATTGGACTTTGCAAATACCCAGGCATCTTCTGTTTTGGGTCTTGAAGAGACGTAAGTTAATTTGTGAGTGAGTTAACACGTATAACCAAAACTACATCACAGAACAAAAATATGGTTTCACACATTGGAATTGACAATTAGTTTTATTTAATTGAAATAAATTTCTCAGGATTATCAATACTACCTCTTCACCCCAGTTATTCAAATGCATGCCAAATATGTGGAAAGACTCTATTTTTACATACTGTATGCATTTCCCAATTTTGGAAAGGTCTGATTTACTCACTGAATTAACAAATATTTACTATGTAGTAAAAAGTTAGGTTACTCATTGAGGAAGAAACAAAGGCTGAAAACCTAATGTTTTTTTCTCCTTTTGTTTTGCGTTGTTCCTTCTAACTCATTCTTCCATACCTTACTCAAGGGAAAACCATAGTCAGCACTTCAGTCAGTAAGTATTATTATCACCATTTAACACATGAGGGGAAAAAAAGCTCTGGATGGCAAAGCGACTTGTCAAGTGAATAATAAGTGAAGAAGTTGAGATGTGTCTCCTTGGTCTGTCTATTCCAATAGCTCTTACATACTGAACTGTCAGTGGCCTCAAACTCCAAGCTGTGGTTATACTTCTCAAAGGAGTTTTAGAAGTGGGCACACTTTAAATAGCTTATAGCATCCTTTTACCTGCAAGTGTTGAAACATTTGCTAGCTGATACCTTGACAGGGATTAGTAATTGATTAATTCATTGCTGAACAATGATGAAGGAACCCTGGTGTCACTGTGGATTAAATGTTGGGGTACTAACTGAAAAGTCACCCACTCCAAATCCTCCTACTCCGTTCTAAAGGGCAGCTAGGACTTGGAATCTGCACTATGCCAATGGGTTGAGTTGTTTTAGGTGCCATTGATTCAATTGTAGATCCTATGAACAACAGATCGAAATCTTGACCTATCTTGCATCATTCTCATGAACTTTGCCATGCATAAGTTCATTGTTGCTGTCACTGTGTCGATCTGTCTTGGTGAAGGTCTTCCTTTTGCTGGGACTTTAAACATGTCAAGTTGTAAGGATGGCACAAGATAGGTCAAAGCTTTTACCTGTTATTCATAAAGTTGCTACAAGTGACAGCTGACTCGATGACACCTACCAGCAACAGATTTTCCCAGGATAGGGAAAGAATACAAGTGCTGAAATCGGAATGCTAGGTTCTTCTTCTAATCCCTTCTACTTATTAGCTGTGTGATCTTAGACAAGATACTTTCAATATCTTTCAGATTTATTTCTAAATATATAAAACAGAAACTAAACCCATTGTCTTCAAGTTAATTCCATCACATGAATATCCTGTGAGGCAGAGTAGGATTACCCCATAAGGTTTCTACGGCTGCAATCTTTTTAAAATAAAGATTTGCATGTAAATTTACAAAGCAAATTAGTTTTCCATTCAACCATTCATACATGTTTTGTTTTATAACATTAATTACAATTGTCACTATTTAATGTCACTCTTTGTGATTCTTGTTTCCATTAACCCTTCTATCCTACCTCTTCCTGTATTCTGAACTTTATTCTTGGGCAAATACTGCCCTTCAGATCTTACACAGTTGTTTATTCTACAGAGTGAGTGCTTCATATGCTTGTTGTTAACCCTCTAAGCCTGTTTACTGTCTGGCTGAAAATTGAGCAATGGAGGTGACCACCATTGGGGGAAACCAAGTCTACAATCTACAGAAGCAGTCTTGCCACGTCATTCTCCCAAGGGGAGCTCAAATCACTGACCTTTTGGTTAGCAGCTGAGTGTGTTACCATGGTACCCCCGGCGCTCTGGGATAACAACAGCACCACTTCTTGCATTCAGTTAATGCATGGGCTATTGTAGATAACGTAAGTAAAACCTTTTGCAAGAAATGGTGGCAAGGCAGTAAGCATCCTATGTACTAGAATGGTTACTAGAGTTATTATTGTTGTTATGAAACTGTAAGTCAGAACCAACTCATAGCTGACCCTTCAGGGGGTTTTCAGAGGCAGTTAATTCGCATGGGAGGAGATTTCCCATCATTCTTCTGTGGAGGAGTTTATGAATTTGACCCATGTGCCTTTGGGTTGGCAGTAAAACTCCTAACCACTAAGCCACCAGAGCTCCTTGGCATTATTATTAACATATATTAATATTGCTGTTGTTACCTAGGGAGCACTGGTGGCCTGGCCTAGTGGCTAGAAGCTAGTGGAGGGTCAGCTACGGGTTGGTTCTGACTCAACGGTACACAACAATAACATTATTGTCTATTTTCATTTAATAAAAGTCATTAATATTTTGAACATATGGCCAACCTCTTTGAGGAAGACAAGTTTGAATGAGGCCCAAAATAATGAGCAAAGGTAGAAGATGGGAACATTTCAAGGTCCTAGCAGGCATTGGATGTGTTGAATTTAAAAACTAAAGGTGAAATCCTGCCTATTTCGTGGGTTTTATTACTCATTCTTTACTTAAAGAAGATGCAAACTACTACTGTTTGATTGTCAAAGCTTGTGATACATTCATCTGTCTTTCTAGATCTAAGAGAACTTTACCGAGGTTAGTTATTTGCAAAGGAGGGTGACGGCGGCTTGCTTAAATCCCACTGCTCTTTGAGTGGGAACTGCTGCCACCTGGCGTCTTCACGGCTTACTGCAGTGATGGGTAAAACCAACTACCTGGCAAATTCAATGTTAATGTGGACAGCACTTTCCCCCCCACGATTCTTTAAAAATTACTTAAATTAGGCAGCACTAACAATTGCGGAATCTTTAAGGCTTTCTAGGTTTTTGTTATATTTCATATATTTTCCTCTTAAGGTTTTTATACGTGAAAAATGTTTTGATTTTTCCAAAGCTTTCCTTAGTACAGCTTATGGTAGTGTTCTACTTTTAAAATATTTGTAGCAAAATTGTACAAATTTATTTCTCTTCTTCTTCTTCTTCTTGGATTTCTACATCCCAGTGTATTACTGAAGCAAAATGAGTATTACAAAGTATCAAGATTTACTTTTGAATTTACTGTTTATATATGATATGTATATCAAATTTATATATTAATTTACTGTGTTTCTATATCATGGAAAAAGCAAAAAAGGAATAAGATATATGCCAAATTCTAAAGAAGCAGAAAAACAAATTAACTATCACTTTCTAATAATTTATAGAATAGCTGTATTGAGTTCCAAAAATGGCCCTTTCCAGAAACAACCAGACCTGCAGAACATAAATAGGAAGTTCTGGTACATCTTATGGGAGATTACTGTAGCACTGATACCCAGGCTGGATAAAAAAACCTGAAGTTACACACTGTCCTGACTTAAGAATATAAATGCTAAAACATAAACTAAAAGAAGGTCTGGTGGCTTAGTGGCAAGTAGTTGCACCAGGAACCCAAAAGAACATGGTTTGAATCCACTAGCTGCACTACAGTAGAAAGATGGGCAATCTCTTCTAGTGTGATTTACTGCCTCTGAAAATCCCCTGGAAACCAACTCTGAGTCAATTCTAATTTGATGGTACCTAACACTAACAATGACAATATAATCTAATCAATCACTGTATAAGATAAACATCATAAGAAGAATATTCAAATATATGCCAAGATACTTTAATAACAAAAAAGTTAACGTAATTTACTACATTAATAGATTAATGTAGATAAAAGTTTATAACAATTTATTATTTGTAGAAAAGTCTGTTTGGATAAGCTTGTTAAGCAAGCTAGTAATAAAACTGAACTCTTACGTCTATCAAAACCTATTTAAGTTCAAAGAAGAACTGATGCCTTTAAAACGTGAAGTTGATGGAAAACACAGAATATGCCAAGGACACCCAAAAGCATAAACAAATCTGTCTTGGAAGAACAGCAATCAGAGTGCTCCACAGAAGAAAGGGTGGTGAGAATGAGCACCTTTGGGGCATGCTGTCAGCTGAGACCAGGCACTGCACAGGGAAATCACTTGTGGAAAAGCAGAGGGTGAGTGAAACCATCAACAAGATGGACTGACAGTAACTGCAGCAATGGGCTTAAGCACAGTTGGGGTTGTGAGGACGTCACAGGATCAGGCAAAATCCATTCTGTTGTATGAAGAGTGGCTGAGTTGGAGCCAATTGGGCAGCACCTATTAATAATATCAAAGTTTAAAACAAATGTCATATTTAAAAGTGCAAAGTTACAAGTATCCCAATTAAAGGGAGAAATCAGTTAGCAAAGAATGCTCACAGGCACTCCTAGATTACATTACTGGAATTTATGACTAATGCAATGAAATAAAAAGTACTAAGAGGTGTAAGCGTAAGCATTGGAAAAGGAAACAAATTATTTGGACACAATGTACCTGTGACAGAAAGTGTCAGTGAATTCCCAGGAACGTTTGGCCTTTGGGTTAGCATCACCATTCCCTGTGGTTTACACTGACCAGGCCATGAAGCACCCCACCCCCCAGTCTCTTCAGTAAGGATATTCAAATGAAATCCACAGAAGAGCATTTCCTACCCAATACAACAGCACTATTACTGATACATTGCAAAGCCATATAGATGTTTTGTGGTCATATTTACTCATACCATATCTTGCTTTCAATGCATAAACAAATAACAATAGTATAAGAGAATGAATGAAAATTATTCAAAACAAGCAGGCGGGGACCCCACAGGTAAACAGGACCCAGAGGCCTAGCAGGTCAAGGAGGAGCCGGAAATCATTGGGGCACACTTTGAAGGCAGAGTTTAGCCTGGAATACGAATTTCAGAAGGGAAGGGAAGGGCCAGCAGGCGGGGACAGTTACTTCTGAGGAATGAAATTAATTTAACTTAAAATAATAGAAATCTCTTGGGAAAGGGCAGGAAATCAACATTTAAATATGACAAATATTTGCTGGGAATACCTAAGCAGTTTACAGACTTGAAAGCATTTTCTTTTATTTTCTACTCTCCTTTGATAAACAATTACTTATATACATGTAAGAACCTTTTTAAAAGAGAGTAGGTGTGTAACTTGGGAGGGACTGAAAAGCATTAT